TATTATCTAAACAGTTAGAAAATAAACGCTAGAAGTTTGGCGCGAAAACGCACGAACAATTCTGGCAGTCAATTTCTAACGATTTGCTTCTAACAGCTAGAAAATTGTGGGGCCCATGCTATTTCTGTCAAAGCGCTACAAATTTCTTACGGTTTGTTTGAAAACCGCTAAAAATGTATGAATTTGTAGTGGTTTTGTTTAACCGCTAGAAATGTTTCGCTGGTAATTCTTTTTTTTTTTTTGTGTAGTGATTGTCCTAGGAACTTGAGTTGTCTTAATTATGCTTTTTTCTTTTTAACCTTGATCTTAACTATGCTGTTTTGTATCTTCATTTTGGACCAAAGTACGTATTGGATAAAGATGATGATGATGTTCTGCATTCCATTGCGTTAAACATGTATCCAAGTAACCTTTTGTGTGATTGATGGAATTAGAAGAGCTAACTAGCAGAAGTTTATATCGATACATTTAATATCATATCTTAACCCATAATCTTAAGATATGAAGTCTATCAACATTTCTCACGTATGTATATTTTTTCATTTTAATTATATTTATTAGGGTTAAGATGCAAGTTTATTCCCAAATATTTCACTCAAAGACACTAGTGAAAACCATAAGTTTTTATGGAGTATAATTTTGTCCCAAAGATTTAAAATCATAGCAATTTTGTCCCAAAAGTTTAATACACTCGTTTTTTAATAGTATAAGGCAATATTGCTATGATTTTAAGCTTTGGGGACAAATTTGCATCCAAAAAAACATTTGGATGTCCAATTCTCCGGAATGAAAAGTTTTGAAACAAATTTACCCCTTAACAATGTATTTAATATTGGACATCTTTCTATGTTAACTCATATTTGGCTTTACATCTCTAACGTTACATCAAGTTTTAATTTGAACACTAAACTGCTACCATGAATTACAAATCTAGCTGTCACTTAAGAAAACATGAATTACCAAATTCTCATTGGATGATTGAGGGAGAGGAAAGGTGGGGCTGAGGCAGGCAACCAAAGAAGGAAGGGAATCAAAAGGAAGAGAAGGGTGTCACTTAAAAAAGCAAAAGCTGCCAAAGGTAGCAAAACACAAACACTGCATATTCATTCACGCCTGGACATGTCCCCCACATCACACCTTCTTTGCTTGGATTTCCGAAATCCGAGCTCCTCCTCTTAGGAAGTGCTTGGCATATGAACATAAGAAACAAGATCCTCTTCATTTTTTTTTTTTAATAAAACATTTTATTATCTATTTAGTCTAAATAGTTGGCCCCAGAACACATGGCCTAGCCCAACCTACGATGATCCTATGCATTCTTTGATTGGATGGGGCCAATCGGGTAGGGCGGGGAACATAGGTTAAGTTAGATAGGTTGGCTCATGCCTGAACATAAGCTATTTTGTAGGGATTGAGTTAGAAAAAATCCAACTTAAATAAAAACTATTCTTCTAAAACTTGGATCATTTACCTGCAAGCTAAAATAAACGAGCTAATTATCATGTAATGTATAGGCGGAACTTTTCATTTTTTTGGGCACAATTTATAATATGCTATACTGAAGAAGTTTTTTTTTTTTTTTATCATCTTTCATCCGATCAACAGAAAAAACTTGTACACTTATTATGTTTATGGAGGATCAAACATGCAAATCTTATGTAAGATTTGATGAGATGTTAAGTCTCGGTTGAGTCAAATGGCTCCTATTACTACACGAATAAATTAAAGAATAACGCTAACGTATGTGATGTTTATGTTTTTTGGGGAAAAAAAATTTAACATTAGATTATGTGAATATAGATCATGTAATATGTGGGTTGGAAGTATGGCTTATATAGATTGGATTTAGGTTTTATAAATTATTGATATTTATGAGGACAAATTTGTATAAATTGATTGGTTGGACCATATAACCTACCAACCAACATACTCTGAGTTGGATTGGGATTTTCTCAACTCATGTAAAATATAAACTCTTTATGTATCACATTCAATAAACAAGCTATGACATTTAGAGTTATACTTTTTTCTTGCAAAACAAAAGTATCTTTTATAAAAAGTAATCATATTCGAAATACTATCAAATACTAAATACTAAATGTGGGCGTATTCTTAATGAGGATTCAAACATTTGTTTGTCACGTTGTGACCCAATCCCCATTGGTATTTAGAGTTATATTTTATAGAAAAGAGAAAAAAATGGTAACTCATTGTAATTAATTTTTTTTTTTTGGGTAAAATACGCCAAACGCCAAATTTGCTACCTCATTATTGATCTTGGGAAAAAAAGTCCCTATATAGTCATTATACACAGATGCATATTGAGCTCCTGAGGTGGCATATCAAAAACATTCATCACTTCTCATTTCCTTCTCTATGCATGTACAAATTTAATATAATCAAAACTTGTCAACAAATTATTAAATGAATGACACGATCTGAAGGAACAAATTCAATGCTGTGAACTTACAAAGTCTGATCTCTATCTGTCCAAATTAAAATAAAAACCTAGAGAGTCTTTCTCAATTTTTATTTATGTTGCATCGCAACATTCTTATTTTATTTTTTTATTTTTTAACAAAGTAAAAAAAAAACCCAAACAAGTTGCTCATTGGACAATAATTAATGTTGTACACTTGTACTTGTGCCTTGGTGAAAGCTAACATTGCTTCTTCTTTTTTTTTCCGTGGAAAAACATTTTTTATGCTATATAATCATCATACTCATAATCATCTCTACTTTTGCACGTATCGATCCCTACATCATCCAGACTAATTGGGTCTTCCAAATTTTATAAATTTTTTTTCTAAATTTTGAAGAGGGAGAGAGAGAGAGACGCCTAATTTCAAGAAGGTAAGGCAGATGATAAAATAATCTGCTATTTTTTATATACAACTATAGTTTTTCTTTTTAAAAAAAATTGATATCCATGCATAAAATTAACGTTGGAATACTTCTTTTGGCCTGACTAATTGGGAGCTTTTATTTTCATATTAAATTAAACTAATACTATAAAACGTGTGTGTGTGTGTGTGTGTGTGTGTGTGTAGAGTTCGCCTACACAATCAGTGGAGTAATTAATTGCGCAATAAACTTTGCCGTCTCTTATGAGAAAACCTAGCTAGCTATAAACAATATTGGGATCATTTTCTCTTCATTGAGCTTGTAACAACCGACCAAAAAAAAAACAACTTCATTCGTTGTTTTCTTTTTCACTTTTTTATTCTGGTCTTGCACTCTCTCTCTCTCTCACACACACACAGAGAGAAACTTTTTTGACTGCGTTTTTGTTGTGACTGGAATAGCTTTATTCCATGGAAAAAGGCAATCAGAAAGCTTTGGTAATTGCAAAAAAGCAAAACACAGGAACCCCATAGATTCCATCTTCAAAACCCCACCATTGAATTATCGTATGAGTATCAAATCATAATCATACACCTTATTTGTAATCATTACTTAGCTTATAATATATCAGCTCATCACTCACATTGATGATTTCTATGTGCTTTTTCTTGTTTATCTCAGTTTATTGAAAAGATAGGAAGATGATGATGAAGTTTCTGTGTCTTCTCTTATTTGCCTAATTGTATATCGAAGTTTATCGATATCTATATTGTATTCTTGCTTATTTTCTTAAATTATACATGGTTTTTCACATATTGTTCAATGAATTAAAGAATATGTGTTTCACTATTTCGATTTGTGAATATAATTGATTACTGATCTGTGAATATTTGAGAGGACTTTTGGCGTTTCTTTGAAATGTATCTTCCTACCTAGCCAGATGGCTATATATATATATATATATATATATATGATCCCTGATCACACTCAGTTTCACCTATTCAACAAGTACAATTTCATTTCATTTGGGCAATTTTCCTTACACACACACACACACACACACACACACACATATTCGTATTACTACCCAAAAAAAAAAAAAAGCGTCTTGCTTTGTCTGTTTGCAGTGAAGAAGATTCCCCTTTGAAGTGGGTCCCAATATAGAGCTTTATTTTCCTTGGAAGGGAAAAAGAGCCAATCTCATGGGTTAAAAAAAGAAAAGCGGACGATAAATAAAAAAGTTATCGGAATAATATACTTTTCATGCTAAATTCTCTCAATTATCAACTTGGTTTATAAATTTCCACTCGGTACAGCTTAATTTTTATAATATTTTAAAAAATTATAGGAACTATGCTTAAATAGTTCAAAAAGCAAACATTGTTTTGTTTTATAGAAAATAAAATGTGACTTGTTAAATCAAAATAAAGAGCTTGAAATTGAAAAAAAAAAAAGCTCATAATTAAATCGCGACAAAACATATATAAGCAGTTATGCATGGGTAACAAAGAGATCATCTTTCATGAACATATATATATATATATATATATATCAAACACCCAAGTTACTAATAATATTGCACTCTTTGTGAACCCACCAAATATGAAAGTTTCTAGTTTTGTCCTGACAAGGAATGGTTCATAGTTTGTTTGGCTAACAATATATACAAGTTTGTTCTTTTCACAGCTTCACTCCAAGAAAGAAACTCAGTTCTATTCGTAGTGTGACCAAGGAATATTTATAAAAGCTATTTTAGCCTCTCTCTCGAAACGAATTGTTTTCCTACTGTGAGATTTTGATGAAGAGAACTGAAACTTTTTTTTTTTTAATGTAGTAGCTAGAAAGAAAAGGAGTAACAGAAAAAAAAAATTAAAGTAACTATAAAGTATAAAAGCATAACAAATTAATTATATTGACGGTACAACTCGGCTTTATAAAGTTGTATTGAATGGAGACGTTTTAATAAGCTTCAACGTCTTGTATTGAAAAAAAGCCTTATATACATATTCATGTATGATATAAATTCATTCAACTTGGATTACTCAGAGTCCGCCGTAACTTCTGAATTCCTATTAGTAAATCCAATACACATATACACACACATAATGAAAAAATGGCATCATATCTCATGAAGTGTTCTAGTATAAAAAGTTTCACTCTGTTAGCTATAAATATATATATTAACTCAACATAACCCTTTCTTTGCCAGAACTTAACCCTTTCAAGTCATACAAAAACATTCATATAAACAAATAAGCCGATTTCTCAGCATGATAATACCCAAAAAGAAGTGAAATCATTAATGAGAAATAATAATGGAGCAATAACAGTAGCTTCAAGAGTCACCTATCATAATGTGCTCGATCACCCTTCATCTTTTCTTCTTCTTCTTCCCAAGTAACAATCCAAAGGGACAACTGACTTGTGTCCGGTTCTTTCGTAGAACAATTATGGGAATGAAATCTCTTAAATAATAATGCATTAAAAAGTCAACACACACACACACACACACACACATATATACGAGAAAGTGCATACTATATTGTACAGTCTGAATATTGAGAGCTTCGATAATGATAATGATCTACTGAAGAAGAAGAAGGAAATTTTAAGATACTTTGGAGTAGCATATACAGATCTCACAGGAGATGGTTGGTGGAAGAAGAAGCAAAACTAATAGAAACATTGTTGCTTTTCCATGCGCTGCTGCCATTATTTGCTTGCCAGAATTGTTGATTATTATTTTCTGAGTTTCCCGTAAGATTCTTGGATAAACCCACAACTTGATCCATATTTTCCTCCATTTTAACTGTAGTAGCACCAGAATATAATAATGTCCTTGAAGGTTGGATCTCAACGTTCTCTGATCTTTCAAACTGATATAACCCTACTGGTGCCTCCAAATTACTCAAGAATGTTGCTGCTGGAAACTGTTGATGATGCTGCAGAAGACTTGGTAGCTTCCATTGCTCAGTAGTAACAAAGCCATTGTTGTTATTATTATTTCCAATTATACCACCTGAGCTAGTAGAATTATTATTACAAGCAATTTGAAATTCATCAGCATGTTTGATGTTTGTTGCCCCAAAAACGACGTCGTAGTCACTGTAACTATGAGATGTAGGAGGAGGGAAGAGAAATGGAGGCGGTAAGCGATGACCTATCAAGTTATGATGATGATGATGATCGCTATTAGGGCAACAGTTACTTGAGGAATTATTTGCACTTGCAGAAGAGTTGGAAATAATGGAACCTGATGTAGATGCTACTTTGTTGTTGGGAGATTTTGATGACCTGATGTTAGCTCCTTTGCTTCTTTTGTTCTTCCTTCTGCAACCTCCTCCCACCGGCACGTTCCTCAACGAGCCGCCTCGGGTCCAGTATCGCCGGCAAGTCTTGCAGAAATGGCGGGGCTGAGAGAGGCTGTAATTGTTGTAGTAACAGAACTTGGTGTTGGTGGATTCACACCGCGGACATTTCAGTGCTGTTTCTGGCTGTGCTACCTTCGCTAGCCGAGCTCGATCCGCCATGGATCCTGGCCTCGTGGTCGAGCCTTTGTTGCCACCACAATCACCGTCTCCGACAGGTGGAGGCGGTGGTGGCGGAGGTGAAGGCGGAACCGGGGAATTCTGGGCATGAATAAACCCTTCTGGCTGCTGATCAAGCTGCTGAAGTGTAGAAAATAAAAGGAAAACGTAAACAGAAAAAGAAACTGAATTATGATTGATAATATATATGCGGTATCTTCAAGATAGAACAAAACAAGATGAATAAAGGAGGGAATATATATGTGTGAATAATTCTGATTTCAACAAAGCTAATTTGATTAGCGAATTAAGAAGGAAAAGGAAAGAAGGGAAGGAAAATTATAATAAATCACCTGGTGATGCCAGTTGGGTGGTGGATCTAGGTGATAGATTGGAAGAGAAGAGTAGACCATGGCTCTTAATTAGAGAGAGCAAGTTGGCTTTATGGTTCTTGTCCTCTCTCTTTAGCAAAAGTTTTGATGGGTTCTTTGTTTGGAGAGTGTGTGGGTGGAGGGATCACATCAATACATGAAAGATGATGAGAGAAGTTGCAGAGAAAAATTGAAGAGAGAGAGAGAGGGATCAGAGGGAGACGGAAAGATAAAGGAGTCTGTGTGTGGGGAAAGAAAGGGAAGGGTGTGCTTGGATTGAAGTCCCCCCCCCCCCCGGGTTTAATTTCCTTTTCCTCTCTATTTAATTAGCCATTCTTTGATCTTCTTTTTTGTTCTTGGATTGAAATTTGTGGGGTTGTAGGACACCATCAAGTTCTTCTCTAATTTATTGTGTCTCTCAACATTAGCCCCTTCTTCATAATATTAAATAAGCATGAATATTGGATGTGTCCAAATTAAGTACTGCCTTCAAAATCTCTCGGGCCATTGAATCGGAAAAGTAGTGTCAGTGTAGAAAAGTAGCTACTCAAGATTTATTAATTAGTCTCGTATGCCAGAACAGTAAATAAATTGATTGTGATTAAATAATATATAAGAATTAAAAACTAACTTTATTATCGACCAAAATCTAGTCTAATGCACCTTTTGGTCCATGTTCATAAAAGTTAACATTTAGTATTATAATATCCGGTGCTCTTTTTCATAGGACCCTTCTCATAATTTTAAGAAGAATTAGAACATGTGTCCTAATATATCCCCAGTAAATAGTTAAACTATAATGAAAAAGTAGTTAAAATTTAGCAAATAATTATGGGTAGAATTGTAAAGAAGAAAAGAATTTATACATCAACCAATTTTAATTACTTTTTTAATATTTGCATGAATGTCAAAATTAAATATTATTAAAAGAGACGGAGAGGAGTTCATTAGTCGAAGTAACTAGTCCAAATATATGTGTTAATTTTGAGAACAAATAAACCATGCATGCATAGATAGATAAAGAGAGAAACCCTAGGCGGCTTAATTAATTAAGATTAAATCTGATACTGAGTATCATAATAATAATAGTAGTAGCAATAATAATAATAAGAAGGAGGCCTATCAAAAAAATAATAATAAGAAGGAGGAGGAGGAGGATTGAGGTATTCAAAAAGAGAATGATATTATATGTTGAATTTTAAATTAAAAAGGTGAAGAGTCATGAAGTGATGGTGGGGTGGTCTTGGGTGGAAGAGTCACAATCGTACGTACCTTTGTTTCTCCTAGTCGATCCGTTCCTACAAAAATAATTAAATTAAAGTTATTGTATTCTTCTGATCCTAAATATAAGACCCACACTACAAAATAGGTCTTATATTTAAGACAAAAGGAATATATATTATTGTATATATGGGCTTCTTCATTATTTAGTGAGAGTAATATTTTATGCTTACTTTACACTTATTTTCAGTTCATATGAAATTAATTATTTTCTACTGTGCCATACATACAGGTTGCAATAATGTAGGTTGCAATAATGTAGATTTGGCAGCTGGACAGAGAAAGATGTAATTTGATAAGATCATAAAGTTAGAATAATCAAAGCTTTACTTTGTAATTAATTAATGAACTACTTAAGCATATTGATCTTTTGTTTCCACTTTCTTCCCAGAATCATGCAGTGAGTTTTCAAATGAAAAGGATAGTAGCTTGCATTACACACACCCGGTGTATGTATTCATACATTCATATTATTTTATTCAACATATAATTTGATTTATATAATTTAAAAACGTGACGTATAGCTAAGGAGTTTTATTTACAATTTTAGCCCTTATAATTTTATTCAATTTTTATTATGTGTAACTATAAAATTATTAATCAGATATTTATGAGATACATAATTTTTAATTTTATTTAATGCATTATTCACCATAAGGATAAAATTTATGTAATAATTTAAAAGCTAATAATAGAAGGGTTAAGGTTTATCTAATATCTTGAAATATTTTTTTTGAGTGCATCCAACATTCTAAAATTTTTTGTAATTTATTCAACACTCTGAAGTATTTCTACAAGTGCATTAAGAAAAATTTTTAAAAAATCAATATCAAATCTTTTATTTATATTTTGATTGAGAAAAATATATAAATTGAATGAAATTAAAAAATATTCAACAAAAATAAGAGTAATCCAATAATTTGTGAAATCCACCATTTTCAATCCGATCTATTAACTGAACAGATTATTCATTCAAAAAAAAAAAAAGATTTGAATGATAGAACAAAAAACACCACATGACTTGAAGCATTCTCCCGTATATTAATCAGGATTTAAGAGACACACATATTATTGATGATTTTTTTTATATTTAAAGGACATTATAATTTACAAAGTTCACTATGTAATAATAACTTAATTTTTCTATAATGTTATATAAAATGGTTAAATATGATACAAATTATTAGATAAATATTTTTATCTCACACACAGAAATATTCATGTTGAGAATAACTATTGATCGATTGCTTCCTATAAGCAGCAAATAAGGTATGATGTTATGAGTAATTAATTTAGATGAGTCATGGTCTGCCAGATTATTGAAATTGAGAGTAGAAAGTGATGTAGGGTTTCACTGATGTGTGACATAGAAAGCATATGAAAACGTGCAAATTAGATGTCAATTATCATCAGAACCATCCTTCCAGAGAATAACCTTCATCATATAATCTAGCTATACATGGGACGACAAATTTAAATTTACAACTTGTTATCTTCTGTCTTAGCTTTAATATTAAGCTGCCTCCCTCTGGTGGGATCGACACAGGTATAAGTTGCTGGTCAAAAAAAAAAAAAACACAGGTATAAGTTGTCATTTCTTTATGTTTTTTTTTAAAATATTAGCATATTATACTTCACCCGATATTATATGTATGATACAAATATAACCATATTACCTTATTAAAATATTAAAAATATTAGTTAAATTAGTTATTTATAATAAATATATATTGGCTACCGTAAACTACCATATTTAGTCATATATATTAAAACTACCCTTAGCGGAAACCTTTATAATTAATAATATTTTAAGGAAAAACATCATAAATTTGAAAAGCAACACGTTTATATTTAGGACTAAATTCAACTCACAATTAAATTTTATATTAAGGATCAGAGTCAGTATTTTATTTTCTAAAAACACCCTTATTTTATGAAGAGAGTGGATGAGAGAGAATGAGTAAAAAAAACTAAATAATTAATGGAATGATGTAAGTTGTAACATGTAATTAATGAGACAAAAATGAAAAAAAAAATAGATATTACATAAGACCGGATGGAGTAAATGATTACTTTTAAAGGTGGCTCCACACAAACACAAACTAATATCTGTAGCATTTTCTCCCGCAATTTTTTTATAAGATTCAAATTTTTGAATCCATCCAATTCTTTTTAATTAAAAGATATAGTTTGGGATTTTTTTAATTTTAAATGCGTTTTTATTAATTCTATATCTAATTATTTATATTATCTTTCATCTTTTTCTCAATGTTTCTCTATCACATTTACCCTCTTATAAATAAAAACATATTTAAAAAATATTTATTTAGTATTTATTATTTTTAGCTAATGTTAACATCAAGCATTTTGATCAATTGGACCTTATAAAAAGGATTAAATAGTATAAAATTTATTTAATGACATGGGAAATGCCGACTCCCAAAAATTAAAAAACTTTAACCCACTAATTTCATTTTTATATTTACTAAATACCATATTAAATGCTTGGCCGGAAAAAAAAAATCCCTTATCAAATGATGTTTTCTATTAATTTTCAGTCATGGATTACGTGATTTTTTTTCTATGATTTACAATTCTCTGAATTCATGAACGGCTTGCATTGAGCTTTGTATTTTGTGCCTCTTTTTATTTCACCGTTATAGTTTTTATTTCATTCACCTTTCTTTTACTGCTTCATCACTCGATATAATACCTATTTGATTAGATTAAAAAAATTAGATATGTGATTTGAATGTTTTTAGTCGCTTTGGATTAAATAAAAAATAAATTAAATTATGCAGTAAAGCATAACTCGGGTTGTGCCTCTTCAGGAGCCTTTTATTTATTCTTAAGTTAACTAAGTGACAAAAGCATTAAAAAGGATGGATTTGAAAAGGGATTTTTCTTTTTATGAAACTAATTCTGAAAATAAAGAAATAAATCTAAACTGCTTTTTTTTTATGGTATTTTTTTAATAAAGAGAGAATGAAAAATACAAATTTGAATTTCAGAAAATCAGTTATGAGAATGCTTCTTGAAAACAAAAAGTAGCTATCCTTGCTTAATAAAAATATGGGAGTCAAATAATGCATAAACTTATAAAGCAACCCCAAACACGGTTTGAATCAAGTAAACTTAACACTTGACTACCTTAAAAACTAGATAATAATCAAATTATTATGTTACCTTTAAAAATCACTTGATGTGCAATTTAAAATTGAGTTAATAAAACTTGATTCCTTCTCAAAGAATACTCACAAAGACACCCAATTGTAGTTCATGCCAATCATAAAATTCAGCAACATGCCGGATAAAATAATCTTAATGAATACAAAGGAAGCATATATGAATTCAAATTCCAAGTAATACAACTCAAATTAGACTATAAAAATCCAATTAACAGAAATTATAACGCATAATCTCAGTCTCTAAATCAAATAAGAATGCCCCTAACACAGGAAAAATCTACTGAAGTTCAAAAGAAAATTAATTGGAAAACTAAATACTCTCCTAGTTAAAACTCCAAGCTCAAGCTACTCCTCTATCTCTAAGAAGCACAGTGGGATTAGCTTCTCATGGCTCTAGAAGAATCCACAATATGTTTGCAATAATGAGAATTTATGGAGGCTATGGAGAGAGAGTGGGTGTAGAAGATTTCTGCAGAAAGAAACAAGAAATAATGGAGGCCGAAGGTGATGATGTTGGTTGGTTGAAGGAAGAAAAGGGGAAAACTGGAGGTGAAAATTTTAGCGTTGTCGGCGTGTATATGGCGCTGAGGAGAGGATGTGAAGGCTGTGTATGCGTGTGGTTGGGAATATGGCACTTGATGGTGTGGACATGTATGTGAATCGAATTTGAAGGAGGATTGGCGGCCTGTGTGGAATTCCTGGGTGCTTTTTCATGAATCAATAAAAATATAAATAATATAATAATCTGATGTGTCAATGTTCAAGTTGTTTGTGTCTCCATTTTTTT